AAAGCTTAAAAAACGTGTTTTATTTATTTTCTCACGGGTTTGTCAAAATGCTGTTATCTGATTGGTCAGAAAGACTTGCAATTTGTTTATTCTGTGTTGTGTATTTATAGCATTCACAGTTATCGCTCTTGAGTTTCTTATTTGGAAATTGTCCAGACCTGTTGAACAAAAGATGTTCAAGATATTGGAAAATTAATCAAAAGAAGGAAATTTAATGAAGGAAAACTTTGCACAATTCTCTTTGTTCGAATATCTTAGTAAAAATTACATCTCATCTTATCGAGAAATCGGACTGAAGACACTCGTTGCTCGCAAGATCTCATCTAGTTATTACTATTTTTATTATATTAATTAATATCATTTTACTTTTATCACTAGTTTATAATTACTATACACAATGTGTAAGGCACTCTTCCATAAAGTACTTTTCCATTTTATAAGAAAATATAAAACTAAATACATGTTAGAAGCAACTATAAAAAAGAACTTTGGAAATGATCTTGGTACGCAATAGTAAATAATGTTTGAAATAATGGTTTAAAACAATTATTTTTTTTTCTTAAATCTCAAGTTTTGAATTGGACTTCCACATCAGTGCCAATGCTTCAATTATTTGAATTAATAAGTATTTCTCCTCCAGATTTTGTAGTGTCTGAGCCATTGTCTGAAGTCCCATTAATTTCCATTTAAAAAGAAATAACTCAAAGTTTGTTTTGTAAGTATGCAAACTTTCCGATAGACTTCTATATAAAAAACTAAAAATGTAAGTTCAATCTGTTGAGAATTAAGCAAGATATAAGGTCTCAAATGTAAAAAGAAAATAAGAACAAGAATAAAAAAAGAATAATAACTTAAACGACATAACCGATTTAAAAATAATAATAATCTTTACCAACGGTCTTCATTTGGAAATGAAAGACAAACTCAGTTTAAATACACAAAAGGATAAATATTTTTTGTAGATTAAAATATTTCTGGAAACAAAAATGAAGCTTATCTTGTAAATGTCTATATATTCAAAGATATTAAGCGTTAAATGTCGGTTTCTATTCTATCACAAATGAACAATGAGTGAAGCTCCGCAGCTGCAACAGTTTCTTCGCGCTTTCCTTTGCCTAGGAATCTCTTTTACAGTAACCGACAAAACATCATTGGACGAGTCAACTTTTTACTCTGAAAGGTGACGCAGGTTACCCCATCGTTAACAAATTCTACTATGAACAGCCAGAAAAAGTATGGTTGTATTCCACTTACTGATCTTGCTTTTCACGGACCTGAGAATGATGTGCATGTGCACTTTGAGCGATAGTTAGATAATTGCACATATTAAATGTTAATTCTTCCTCATACGTTTTTTTTTTAATTTTGAAAAATCTTACTACATGAAGTTATATGGATTTTTTAAGCCCCTTTCCACTTTGAAAAACGTTATACCTGTAGGCTTGTAACAAGCTATTTGGATTGATGTGTGTTACATGCTGTGATACACGTCATTCAGTAACAATAAAAAACGTAATAATCAGAAAATATGTAGTTTGAAGTATATCAACATAAAAAAATATTTTATTAAATTAAGAAACGGCCACTTTGCTCTATGAAATATTCCTGAAAGTGAGTAACGTAAATTCAGCTTAAAAAGTAGTACGATTAATTATATCTATTTTAATTAAATTCAAAATACGAATTTGTTTCATGTGCATGTATTTTATTTAACAGAAGATTGAACTCAGTAGCCCTCATCTTATACCATATAATATATAATTGACACTTCCTAGTTGACTTTTACAGCTTGAGTATCTCTGACGTTTTGTCAGCATATACTTGCTTATCATAAATTAATAAGAGACACACAGACTTCTTTTTTCCCATGTTTCTTTAACTTTTCAGGGTGTGGTAGCATACATTTCAGTAGCCTGTCTTTAATATTTATTCATTTAGGCCAATAAGGTTATATACCATTTGGAATATCCCGTTTGAGAGATAGGTCTTAACCCCTTCAAATATGTATTCTTTTTTAGTGCCTGGTGAAATATTGAATTGGGATACCAAAGCAAGGGAAAGGTTTGAAAATATGATAGGCAAGGACGCAGTGAAGATCTACAGATCAAGACTAATGATCGTGGGATGTGCAGGCGCAGGAAAAACCACTCTTCTGGAAAGGCTCCTAAATCGAGATTTAGTTGAATTTCCTGAGACTAAGTCAACTGTTGCTCTAGACACCCATGAGAGTATATTCAAAATATCTGAGGAAACAAACAAAATGATCGGTAATATTTTTCAGCACCAAATTCATTGACTTTTTTTTAAATTAAATTTTGGGATATATTTTATTTGCTTTCTTCTGACCGACTGACTGAAAATAGTCCAACTCAATTATTTTTCAATCCCAGCCCTTAATATTATCAACAAGCAAACTGAATTCTTTGGAAAAAAACTTCCCACATACCTATCACCGAGAGGTGTTATTTACTCTGGAGAGGGAAAATGATCATTTTTTAAAGATGGCCTAAGAAAACTTTTTTTTCTTTAAAGCAATCAGTGGAAATTATCCCGACAAAAATGAGAAAACATTGAGTGTTACAGACTTTGCTGGACAGAGTGCATATTATGCTTGTCATCAGGTTTACCTATCAAGGAGAGCGTTGTATATACTTGTTATTGACTTGTCAAAAGAACCAACTGAGCTGGTATCACCAGAGAAGACATTTTCCAGAGAAGCATTATTTGACAACTGGACATATAGAGGTAGAAAAATACAAAATATTAACTTTTGATGAAATGAAGAGACAGGGTCCTCTTATCAAGGCAACCATGATTGCACATATTCATAGGAAAGCATTTTTATGAAGTCTAAATTTTAAGTTTGTAATAATCTTTTGGCCTTCTGGGTTGAGGCACAATAAGGAATACAATTTTTACTATACAGATGTACAAGGAAAAAACTAAACTAATATTCTTTTCAAGAAAATTGAAAAAAATTAGACAGAGCTTGAAAGATTCAAATTTAAAGGAAAGCTTACTTAGAATGTACATGTATATCTTTTCCAAATTACGTCCCGGGGGTCAAATGGCGCTAAATTTGGCTATAAAATTTTACATAGGAATGCAATAAAAAATTTGCAATGGAATACATTTAAAACATGTCAAAATCTCCTCAAGAACAGCTGGCTACATTGACAATATTTATATGGAAGCATAAGGGTAAAATTCAGAGTGTCAAAATATTCCACCAGTGTCTGCAGTTTTGAGCATATTATAATGTATCCAAACCTTTTAAAAGCAATTTCTGATATCATTTGGCATTATCTCACAACTTTCTTGTATAGAAAATGCATATAACACATTCGGTATTTCAACCTATATGCAAAAAATAGGTGACCTGTTGCCATGGATACAAGATGAAATGATCATTTACAATACTAGTTTTATTAAATAGGCCGACAAATGGCGACAATGTAATTTTTTCACCAGGTTTCAACAAAATCAGTAAGAGTCAATTTCCAGTTCATTTTGATCCTTTATACAGAGAATACATACCAATAAAAAGCCATAAAACTATTTTTTTAAACAGGATGTTTAGGCATGTATCATGTTTGATACACAAGAACTATAAATTGTATGTAACCGCGAATACAAATTATAACAAATCAAAGAGAAAAGTACTAAACGCGAATGTTATGATATTAGAGTAGAATTACATTGTATAATCTGGTATGGTTGTAGAAACACACTTTAAATTTAAACAGTCCATTAAAATTAAAACAAATTCGAAGAAGTTTGAAATTTTCTTTCAATGTACGTAAAATTTTGGTGAAAAATATACATATCTTGAAATATTTTTCACAGTGCGTTTAGAGTCTTCATAAACATTTAACGCACTTTGAAAAGTACATTCTATATATTGAACAAAATTTCAGATCTTAGATTTTAAAAATAAATAGCATTATGTTGATAATTTTAAATAACCTAAAGCATCTATCCAAATCGAGTACGAGAAGAAGACAGGAAGAAGATCCCTACTGATCATGTCGTTTGTTGTCTGTTTATACTCTGCCGAGCTATTGACTGAGTATTTAAGATTACGTTTTTCTCAATTCTAGATTTTTAAGATATAAAATAAAAGATTATTGATTGATTGTATATTGTTTAACGTCTTTCTCGAGAATGGTTCACTTACATAGAGACGCCAGCACTTGCTGGTGGAGAGGTGTAAACTCTGTCCTACACTCGGACTCACGGCCATTGAGCAGGAAGGGATCTTTTCACGGTATCTACTGCGACAAGGGACCTCGATCTCGGTCTACACAATCTTATCTGAAGGACCATCTCCACAGTGGGATTTTAACCCGCAACATAAGGATCAACTCCTTTCTTTACAACTCTAGAGCAGACGCTCTATCCACTGCGCAACACAATAGAAGATTAAGATAAAGAAGTTATTTGACTGCATGATTTTTTTTAATATTGAAACATGTGTAAATGACGAAATAGATTTAAGATCAATCAACATTAGAGGTCGGATAAGGTGCCATGGAGGAGTGAACGTCCCCTGACGACCTGTCACATCGCCTTGAGCTCCTTGTCTGTTTCCTAATCGGAAAATAACGGAAACATCCTTCGCCAATTCAATGTAAAAATAATGGACGAACAATTAGTCTGAAAAATGTCAGTCAGCATTTGACTTAATGATAAATTGTATTTGCTGATAAGGTCAATTTATCAACCGTAGAACCTACAAAATTATTACTTTTAATGAAGCTTCTGATACTATTGTTTGAAGAACCTCGTTTAAGAAATTGTTCATACGTACACAAACTGTAGGGCATGCTCTTGCGTATCGAATCAACTGAGATATATAAACTCTGTGTGCAGGTGTATGCAGGTGATAAAGTATATTACTGCATACATGTAAGTGAAAGAAATTGACTGTGATTTTACACCATCAGTACTATATACTGTAGTATTTCGTGTTAAATTACCTGAAATTTTAAATATTTCGATATGAAATTTTTGAAGATCATGTTACAAAATGTTCCCTTATATGATGTGTGACATTTTGTCTGATAATGTCAAATATTTTTTTTCTATGTAACAAGTCCCCGTAACTCTCATAAAAGTGTAATCATGTTCGCTGTAGATAGATAAATGAATAAGAGAGAGATAGATAGATAGAGAGAGAGAGTTTTAAAGGTACGAAAAAATGACAAATAACATTTCAAGGAATCTGTTGGTACACTCTAAAAATTTTTTAAACGTCTTTATCTCCTATATCCTGAAGGGATGTCATAATTGAAAAATTAACTAACAAGGTTCAAATATTATTAAATGATCTTGTTTGTTTGTTTTTTTTAGTGCGTCAAATTGTCCAAAATTCAACGCAGTTTTTTTTATTTTTCAAAGTGCCTCATCTTTTAATGTGCATTGTAATGCAAGTACATGTATGAAATTACCTCAGCAACAGTCTTCCAGATTTAAGTTTAAACATATTTTTATTGAGAAATTCAATCAGTATTGGGCAACACGCAATGGCTATGTACACCCTCTCCTTGTATAATATGATAATCAATAAAATTATAATGAAAAACTAGAAACGAAACTCGTTGCGAGCAACGAGAGGTCTTCCGTCTGATTCAGAAAAAAACAACGTAAAATCAAACTGAAAAAGTGATTTTAAAAATCGGACACACAGGGGATCGAATCCGGGTCGCCAGCGTGAAAATCCATTGCGGTACCCATTACACCTTTGGGAACCCGCTTCAAATTTATCATTCGAATATCGCGAGATTGCTTTTTTTTAATTCCAACATAAATTACGTTTTTTTTTAGAATTCAGTTTGGAATTGTAAAATGACAGCCAGCTTGCCAAACTTTTGTCAAGATGATCACATCGGAATTTGTAACTTGAATTTTAACAGTAATATTCAGGATAGATAATCTATTAATGATGAACAGATGATACAGTTTTCTTTCCTTTTTTCGATATGTATATACAGGCATGCCAATGTTATATATTTCTGCACTATTGTCGCCATTTGTCTACTACTAAGTCGGGTCATGATGCATTATTTCATGCCAAACGTCACAAGTAGTTCTTAACTCTATTCCTTTGAAATGTTTGATTTATTTGATGGATGTTATAGCTTCAATGAAAATTAAAAATGTATGTTCTTATAACCAGAATTTCGAGCGTTAGAAAGTACGAGAATATTTATCACATTATACAAAAATAATTTCGTATACGGCCAAGTAACAGTAAAGCTTTGAATTCGGTAAGATTTTCCACGAATTTTGTATCCTGTTTACCCCCAAAGTGGAGATGAGTTACACGTTCATGAAAAGACTGGAATGAAAAAAGAAACCACTCGTCCTCCGACGGTCAAGGAATCTGATACTATTTATGTCAATAACTTGCATTTATTACAGGAATATTTATAAAACCTTTAATAAATAATCTTTTAAAAATGTTTTTCTTATTTTTGTCTTTTCTATTCATTTAATATGTCAGTCACAAGCCTGCGTAAAGAAAAATAAACAGAAGTCAAGTCATGCTTCAGAAACATAGTGAATATCAAGTCAGGCAAGTTTCTCTTCGTGGAAAATCTTACCGAATTCAAAGCTTTACTGTTACTTGGCCGTATACGAAATTATTGAAAAGTATTATAACCATGGTTTAGGATAAGTTTGTTGCAGATTGTTTGTAGATTGTTGTCATCGTATTTCCACTTGTAGTCATGTTGTATTCTACTTTGAGATGCAGACAAAAGAAATTTCAATAGAAAACTCATATTAAAACAATACTCAATGCAACGTTATTGCGATGTAGCAATCTAAAGAATCCTTTACATTTCATAAATCTTTTTGGTAGAAGTTTCGTTCATCTAAACGCTCAGCTGACCTTCTAGAACCGGACTTGCTTAATGGCGGAGTTCACGGAGACGCCCCGCCATCTTGGACACGCTTCAGATTTTTAAATGTGAATATCTAGAGTGTGGATTGATCAATTCTAAAATAAATTATATATTAGGCCTTTCCAGTAGGGTCTCCATTAACATTAATTATATCAAAGAAAAATATTGAAAAACAAAAAAAGTTGAAAAAGTGCACATTTTGAATTCACTTCCTGTAGCAACCGGAAGTATTGACGACGCAAACGAAGTCAAAATTGCACATCTATAAGTCATGGTCTATCATCTCTAATAAGTCTCCAGTTAATATCTTTAGCCGTTTTCGAGAACACTCGAAGACAAAATTGCATTTTAAAATCAGGAAATTGCCTATAACTTGGCACTGGTACCGAATTTTCCAACAAACGGAATTTTATATAAAATTCATATAATGACCTATAATTCCTGAAATTTTCATTGAAATCCACCGAATAGTTTACGAGAAATTGCCTGCACAAAATTTTGTCTAAAAAAAAGAATAATAATAATAATAACTAGATTCGTTCTTGTTGCTGGGGCAACAAGCAGGTCTTCCGACCGACTTCTATTTTGCAATCTTTGCTGTGTCATCCCATGGAATAGATTTCATAAGTATTTTTTTCGTTTACGTTCATTTACAGTAGGTTCTCAACACAGATCGTGATTGTTCCAGGTATTCCACAAAATATCTCCAAATATAGCTTTTAAAAATCGACAAAATCTCTCAAACATGTTATAAAAGAGTGAAAAGTAATTTGCATCTGAAAAAAAAACAAAAACAAAGAAAAAATTTGGGGAACGGCCCGAGCGGGATTCGAACCC